GATCCTCTTGATCTGAAATAGTTAATGAATGGTGAACTACATTAGCCCAGTAAAAATATCACACTACTCACTGATACAGAAATTAAATGTTAGTAAAAATCATAAAAACAACAAATAGAGTTCTTAATTTAAGTAAATTTATTTATCATAGGTAAAACCATTTATTGCATACTTACCGTTGTAAGATTTCTAAAACCGACCTATAGAAACAATAACTCAACAACATCATAATCTCATATACAAATAAGTAATAATAACAACTTTTCTTTTTTATTTGCCTACTACTATCTATGGGGGTCCAGGTGTGCTTTCTCCTGTCTTTTTGGTTGTTTTTCTGCCATTTTTATTCACTTTGATGTTGGATATGTTTGATAACCTTACTTTTATTTTATTTATAGAATTGTGAAGAGTAGCAAATAATAAATTTTATGGAAAAACTATGTGAATATTCAAATAAAAAATAAGTTGATAGAGACGGAATATTTCGAATAGTTCGATGATAATGGAATATAGGCTCTTGATGTTAACATTTTAATTCATGATAATATATGAAGAACATTTACATACATTTTAGTAGATAATCGAAATTCGTACCCCTTTCCTCCCAAATATATTATATGCAAGTATATGTGTATCTATACCCCCTACACCATACTTCAAGCAGGTGGGCTTCGCCATTAATTACTTGGGCAAGAGACCTCCTCATAGTTTTCTTCCAAAATTAATGATTATATACATATGCATAATTGGATTCCAAGATATTAATATGAATAGGCTTTAAATATATTTGATTAATTTGTAGCTTTTATCATGATAAAAAAAGGGGGAGCATATATCAAAACCATGCACTGAGGTTGACCAAAAACACAAACTGTTCCGAAGTTTGCTTCATCATGGAGGGTTGCAAAACACTGCTAAGCCGCGACATAGAGATATTAGTTAATTGAGTTAGACGCAATTGTAACGAGATCACCCATAAGATTGCAAGGGCTTCTCAAAATTTTCCGATATTGCTGTTTGAATGGATTCCTTTAAAAAAAAAAACAAAATTTAATCGGAATAAATTTCTTTACATGGATTTATAACAAATTTTATTTAATTGTTAATCATGTCTTAATATTTTTAATTTATTTGATTGTTGAAGCATATTTTTTGTTCTCTGTTAGATTATGTTACAATAATATTAAATTATTAGTGATAGTCGTTTCTAATTCTTATTCTTCATCTTCCTTCCTAATTATATTTTATGTTTCAACTAACCTTTCCCTAGTCGTAGCCCATAGATATAATATTTTCTATAAATTAGAATAATACATAAATAAAAAAAAAATAATAATAATAATAAGAGACGTGATTGATAAGATAGTGGTCACATAAAAACCTACCACTACAGTAATATTTTTAAATTTTAATAATCCACGTGGATACATCGTCAGTCACATTTGAATAAATTTTGAAAGTTTAGTTGTAGTTAAACTGAAAATAAAGCAAAAACTGTTTGAATTTTTTAATAGTATAAAAATTTGATGTATTATTTTAAAAAATATTTTATCATTT